TATTTTGACTACTTAACCAATTATTTTCTTTCATTTTTGGTATTAGATATTCTCCTTCATCATCTACGCAATGCTCGACTGTGGTATTATATGATCTGCATGTAGGTGCCAGCTCGTTTTCGCAACGAGAATCATAGAAAAAAGAGTTTCTTTTACTAGGTAAGCACATTTTCTCCCAATTTCTTCCATGAAAACGGTTACATTTACAATATTCAGACCTGAAAGAGAGCGTCATAGACCTCCAATCACAAACTGGATTATGCAGTTTTAACCATGATATACCTAGAATAACTGGATTACTCTTGCTGAGTTTTGTTATATAAAAGACTAAATTTTCCGAGTGCTGACCGAGATGCAAACGGAAGACGAAGTAATGCGTTATGGCTACTTGTGAGCTACCGTCAGCTAGACGTACAGAACGAGGGGCCACAAGTGGTTTAATTTCAATTCCAAACCGCTTTACAATTGATTCTTCATCTACAAATGCAATAGCTGTGCAACCGCTGTCAATCAGACTTGTTGTGGAAATTTTAACACTATCATTATTGCGTGGATTAGAAAGATGAGAACGTAAAAGCATTGAATTACTTGAACTAGTGGAACACATTTCTAGCGGTGAGCTATCTAGTAATACACTTCTTATAAATTCATTCTCATCTTCATAACTATTTGGCCCCTGTCGACGACTTAAGGCAGGGGTTTGTCTTTTAACTGATTGTCCATAGCCCGCGCGGCATCTTTGGCGTATTCGTCTTCAGGGTAGAAATCTGCGACGTGATCGGTATTTCCCAAAGCGCGGAGTCTTGTGGGGGCTGCTGCACCTGAATAATTTGACTGGAAGTTCGAAGGATGTTGCTGTGGGACGTATGGAACTGGACTATGATACGTGTAGGGTGTTTGCCATGGATGCATATTCTGTTGTAGAGGATATCTTTGTTTGGGAGCGGCGGAGTGGACATGAATGGCAGATTGTGAATGATTGGCGCCTCCACTGGGTATGAAACGATTAGTTGACCGCATTGGCATTGGAATCGGATCCATCTTCCTGTGGTGATCCTTCGCAAAATGGCCTTTCTGGCCACAAGCTAAGCATAAGTTATTATCCTTTCTGTACTTCCTATCGGCTTCGGAGAGCTTCAAACGACTGAGACCCATTGGGTCACCAACATCTATTGAATCTTGACTTGGCCTAAAATCTTGGTGAGAAGAATTATTTGGAGCCTGTTGAATTTTAGCAATGTGCTCCTATTGTCCCAAGTTTCGAGCAATCCTATTTATCATCTGGCTCCAACCATTAAAGTCGTCATCTTCGGGTAAATTTACTTGATTGTCTAATACACTGGTGATCTTTTTATTCAATCGCTTCCTCAGCAAATCGACTTTTGTCCTGTCATCATATTTAGCCTTCTCCACAAAATGGTCAAAGTCTACTTTGAAGTCTCCGAAGGCGCGCTTTTCTTGGTATAGTGTATCCAATTTATTTTTTGCTGTCTGGGTGATATCTAGTAGCATATATCGCCCGTCCAAGACTGTCAACAATTCTTCAGATGTTTTCCATGCCCATTTCTGAGGATTCTCAGGATTCTTATTCATCATCTGGACACCATCTTGCACAGAGTCCCATGCCTTGTCTGTGAGTTGTCCAGTTATATACGACACTTTTTCAAATTCACCAGAGAAGCAAGCCTTATCTACAAGGATACTCTGTTCAACTTGTGTCTTCCATCGCTCATAGACTAATTGCCTTTTCTCCATATTAATCTGATTTCCAGTGAACTTATCATGGCCTACTGTAGTACGGCGAGGTGTTGGACGGATGGCCTGTTCGTTAGAAACAATGTTGGAGTTAGCAATATTGTTTTGAATTTGGGTTCGTAACCTATGAATTTCTTCATTCCCCGATGATACCTGAGCATTCAATTTGCTTATTCTCATATTTAATGTATTGATATTGTTCAGACGGCTTTCTACTTGCTGGTTCTTCGTTTCTATTGTTTCTCGTGCCTTTAGAGTATCCTGATGAGCGAGAGTAAGTCTTTCGCTTAGCTCACTGATGTGTCCTTTCATGCCTTTGAAATTGGACTCAAATTCAGATATTGTTGCTGACTGGTGGGAAATCTGTCTGTTAAGTACGCCAAACTTAAGATCAAAACATTTTAACAAACTGCAGAACATTATTTTTTCTGGTGAATCAGAAGTTGAGGCTATGGTTGTCAAGAGAGGAGTCGGATTTGAGTCTGGCGGGAATGTGTGGTCTCCAATGTCGCTGGCAAGATTCGGCCAACTTTCACGGAAGGAATCTAAAAGTTGGTTCAGAGTAGACGCGTCCTGGTTGCTGGCCATTTTTACAAAAACTGGATAAATTGATTTTAAGAATATAGGATTGCCTTGTCGCGTTCGAGAAGGATCTTCTTACAGGATACAGTTTTTTTCTGGTTACAGGTAACTGGATCAGGGAAGCAAAGAAGCAGAGAAGCAGGGCGCGGTAAGGCACGTATGTTAAAGATCGCACAAAATGTCACGGAATGTATAAAGGGAGTATCAGGATCTGGATGGGTCGGGATCAATAACTGTGTTGTGCGATAAGGAGAGTAAATCTAACTATGTACATGGAAGTCTCTAAGTCCCAAGTTCGCTAAGCCATTCCTAGGACTTAGTCCCGTGACAGTATGAGGGTCGCAGCAAATCCACGTGTTTCTAGACAGCCAGCAGGCTGTAAGCGCACTAACGACGGGCTCATCCTCAACTAGCCTTGAAGATAGACGCAAATTCCGTGCATCATCCAATAAGGCAAAAATATCAGTGAAATGGGTGCCAGGGCACGCAGGGATACAAGGGAACGAAGAGGCAGACACCATTGCCCGTGCCACCCTTCGAGAGCTATCTAGCCAGGATACAGCACCAGGATCATGTACTCTGGCATATCTTCGTGGTCTCATGAATCACCGGCGGCAAAAATTGCTGGAAGACTGGTGGATAGAGGCTTGTCCGCCTAAATACCGCCAACTCAACCTACAGGTTCGGCGACGCAAACCACCCGAACTAGCTCTCTCTAGGCACCTGCTCCGAGAATTAATTGCAGCCCGAACGGGTCACGGCAATTTTGCGACATACAATCGCCGTTTTAATAACCTACACGCTCCTATGGAGTGCTCTTGCGGGAAGGAAACTACTCCAACCCACTTCATCCACTGTAGCCGCCACGCACAACACACGCGTAGGCTCAGAAAGTCAATGTCCCGCGCTGAATTTATCGAAAAGCTTCTCGGGCCCAAATGCCACGAAAGCTTCAAAACATTTGCACAGGAAACCGGCTGTTTTGATAGACGACCTGCTCAGTCATCCACTGCTCTCAGCGGGGATCAGATTAACTAGTCATTGCCACAACACATGACAAGAAAGGGAACGAGGCGAGAAGTGTCGTTTCTCTGAGGAAAGATTGTAGCTATTTGGATTTAGTGAAAAGGATTGATTTTTGATCTAGGAGTTGGAGTAGGTGGTGTCCGCGTCGTAATTTACTTCCTACTATTTCTGTAGCAAGTCCAGCGGTTGGAATGAGTCGGGCCTGTAAGCAGTGATCCCCGCCGGCTCCACCAGTCTTGTACCTGTAGTAGACCTAGAGCTTTAGCTTAGGACTTTAATATAATAATAATAAAAAAACCCCCAGTCATCAACTACTTCCATTAACCATCACCTGACTTATCTCTGTACTCCATAATTTCAACAGTGTCTATGTTTGTTTTTGACTTCGATTCGGATGCGATTCTTCTAGGCTATCCTAGATATGCAGAGCATACTGAGCGATTACACCGGCACCACCGGAGGATGAAAATTTCATCTTTTCCGGCTTTTTGGGTAGAAGGTTCCGTGGAAATTGTGGCTGAATTCCACGGATAAACACTGAGCTGAACGGCTATTCATCATGGCCAATATATCAATGGTTTTTGAAGTAACAAAAGAGGACGGGAGCACTATAAAAGTAGTGGCCTGGGCCAGCGAGGAACCTAATTTGCTAGATAGTCTATGACTCAAGTAGCACAATAAATATACACACACACAACACGTTATGCAATTGTTTAATATGTATTTTGATAAGGAATGCTGTTGTGCTCTAGACTCTATTAGCAAACTCCATTGGGAAGTAATTCTACCTATGTCGGTTAATCTAAGACGTAAAAGTAGATGTGTCATCATGTGGAGATCACATGATGACTTCAGCATGGATGCGCTAGCCAGGATCCACAGTACAGCTGTGAATCCTGTATAGCGTGATAGACAAGACAATTATGAACATTTTAGACCAACACAGAATCGTACAACTCTTTACTGAATCATTACGATCGATCGTGAAACCACACCGTAGTGTATCCAACAATCTACACAATATCGTTGAACATCGTCAATTGTTTTCAAATTTTGGAAGAAGTTTATAATTTTTATTTGTGCGAATTTAAACTCTTTTTACCATAAAGCGACATACAATGTCATTCGGCCACCTGGGAGCGGGTATTTATCTCCTATATCGAACGGGATAGGCGGCCTCCACTATCTAGAATATAATTAAGGGATAAGCTCGGGTGAATGACTACAGCACTAAGAGGCTTATTATTTTTTAAATAAGGTGTTAGGAGGTTACTGATCTAATAGCCCCGCTGATGAATTTATAATATTGTCCCTCAATATTCTATTTTACGTCAGCAAAGAAGGTAGTGACTTGTCGATTTTGCCATTAAAAGCTGGCCATTATGAATTTGGTTTAAGATCATCACCAATGTGGGGTCTATTAATATAATTTTATCTAATTAAAACTTTGAAAATTTTCCGTCTAAAAGATTCTGATATATTAAGTGAGTTGGATTAGACAATCTACCAAATACATACTGATCCATTGTGACTGAATGAAAAAGAGATATTATTCTGCAATATTTTTGATTCATACTTTTTTCTTGTAACCAAACGTTGGATGATGGAAGATGTGCAATAAGAATAGCCTTAATTGATCATTCACCGCTGATATTTGTATGCCTAAAGTATTTCATTCCTACCCAAGCAACTATCACCCAAACCCATGCCATGACTGAGGTTAGTATTATCAGGGCCGGATAGTATCCTACAATTGGGAGGGTTGGGTCGTCTTCAAGTTCTGGAGGAGCATATGGCGTTTCACCTACATCCCATGCCCAACTCCATACACCGAGACATGAGCCCATACCAATAACGAAAACGATCCAAGTCAAAATAAGTAGCGCCCACCCCCACCATTCTGTTTCTGAGTAATCCCACTCTACATCGGAAGCCGGTAAAGGGTTGGAAGGAAGACCAACAGCAGAGAGTGGAGACTTAGCCTTTTGCACCGAGCGATGATGCGATACAGAAGCTGCACTAGGAGGAAAATAGGAATCAGACGAGTAGCGTAAGGCTGTATTATGAGCTAAAGAGCCCGACATGTCTTCCTCATCAGTTGAAGTGTAAGATAGTGTTGGACTCATCTTCGACGTAGGCAACGATAAAGGCTGATCAGTCTTTCCCATCGGAAGCGTTGTAACTGAGGAGGCAAGAGTATTATAATCTCCACTAGATGACTCTTTTCTTGTAGCTATATCTGAGATCCCAAGTCCTAGGTTGGGGAATGATGGCTCATCTTCAGATGATATGGGACTGAGCAAACCCATCATATTATTTGCAGATTCGTTTTTGTTTTCGAATGAAAAGGGTCTTGATTCCTTTCGCTCCCTTAAAGCACCACGTCCCAGCAGTGCAGCCTTCCGCAGGGATCCTTTACGTCGTCTGGTTTTTTGTTCAACAGCAACAGCCATCGCCCGTGTTGACTTTTTGGAGAATGCACGTTCATTTGTTGTGTCAGAGTTAGTGGGATTGTTCTCCGTTGATGAATTCATATCATCTCCGCTAGCCCTGAGGAGGTAAAATTTAGAAAGGATACTATTCGATAAACTTTTCCGATAACCCAACGATGCTTCTCGTTCGGTTGGGTGATTATTTCTTTGACTGGTGTCAGTCATTTTCTCGTTTCTGCTCTCCCTGAGTAAATGGTCCATGATCTATCATGAAGGAATAAAGATTATATATTCTTGAAAAATAAGCCACGTTGATCAAGGCTTGGATTAGCATATAGCTGTCGGTTTTTGTTGAGATGAAGTCGCTCGAACCGTGGGTTACAATAATAAAAGGTCATCACACGTTCCGAGAGATTAACTTCTAATTTCTGATCTAGAGTAATTTGATTAGCATGAGAGCTGATCAATAATCAGATTTCACTCGGCAAGATAATAGTGGGGCAAGAAACCAAATTTACTGACGTAGCTAAGTTTGGTTGATACGCTAGACCTAAATACGGTATATCGCGTCTACAACCTTACACTTGAGTCCGTAGTACTAGCAAACAGACTATCTCGACATCTCCTTTTGGAAGAATACAATCATGACTACAAACCACATCTCTCCGGTCCCTCCTCGTACGCCGTCTCCCCCCTCACCAGGAGCAGATTATCAGGAGCAGACAGAAAGTAGTAATATTGTTCGTACAGCTATTACCTTCAATCCCGATGCGCTCTCACCATTTACGGATTCCTTTTCAGGTCAATTTGGATCAATGAACACACCGCTTCCCTCTATGAATAGTGACGGATCTGTCAACTCACTCTGGCCGTCAGGGCAGCGGAACCCGTTCAACTTCGCCCCCCAAACCACAACAGGTAGTCCAATGCTAGTTAATTCTGTATAACTTCGCAATTATCTCTAAACCTGAGAGATGTAACGAAAAAAAGCAAGACTAATGATGTTTAGAATATCGGAAAACGACGTGGTCATCGCTACAAGCATTCGTCCGTAAGCACTCAACATCAAATATTTCTTGAACCGCCTTCAAGAGCTCTACTAGCACTCCCAGCATCCTTACCTGTTCCCACATATAGGGAAGCATGGTCAAGTCGGTCCAAAGAACAAACTCGTCGAATTGTCTGGTGTACATGTCACGCTTTCATAGCACTTTATGTCCTCTACTCAGCAGCAGGCTCTCTCGCCCTTACTGCACTTTCCCATTTAATCTTTTTTGATGCAATATCTGCCACAATATGCGTTGTGATAGATGTCCTCTGTAACTTTGAGGTATGGAAACGCTCGTCAATTCGGCATCCTTTTGGTTTGGAACGCGCGGAAGTATTAGCCGGCTTTGCTATGTCTGTATTTCTCCTATTTTTAGGCTTTGATCTCATCTCTCATAATTTAAAGCATGTTCTTGAGGGAATTAGCGTGCTTAGGTCTCACCAGAAATCTGCAGATCACCGTATCTCCATTGGCTCAATCGACTCTGCGGCTCTCCTTTCCATTATCGCGACACTTATTTCCGCAATTGGTCTCCAAAATCATGCAAGAATAGGAAAGACAATGCGATACAGCTACATCTCGTCTTTACCTTCAGTCCTATCAAATCCCTCTCATTTTCTCACCCTCTTCAGCAGTACCGTTATGTTGCTATTGCCACTTCTATCATCAAATTTATTTCACTGGATAGACACATTTCTTTGTGCATTGATTGCAATTTCAATGTTTACATTGGGAGTTCACTTCGCTACTACTCAGGGCCTCATGCTACTCATGTCTTATTCGGGAGAGGGGATCGGAGATGTGATACGCGAAATAAAGAGAGAAGAGGCAGTCATCTGCGTCGAGGAAGCAAGATTTTGGCAGATCCACTACGCTCTATGTATGGCCAGTTTCAAATTGAGGGTTAAAGGGGACGAACTTACTCTTTCAAAGTTACGAGAACGCATAAATCTATTCGTGTCCAAACGACTTGGGACCGGCTATGGAACTAGTGAAGTTAAATGGGAAGTTACAACCCAATTCATTCTTGAAAAATAAACTTTAATTTTCGATTCAAACCACATCTTCGACAATAGAAACTTCAACGTCAATTGAGATAATCTGGGAAAGCTATGTCTAGTTATCTTGCGTTCATGCTAGCCGAGTTCCAAATTTGGGGCCTGAAGAAGCATTCTCCGGACTCTATTACCTGCATATATTTGCTATTCTTCAATTTCTAAAGTCTTCAAGTCAATTAAAATCCCGCCACTATCTTGTTCCTAATGAAATATTTGGAACTTATTTTTGGGATAACCTTAACCCATTGGATAACCATATATTTCCTGATCTACAGAAAAGGCGATTTTATGTGCGTGTTTTACGTACGCAGTAAATAGAGCCTTGTCTCGCTTACTGAGCAGGGTTTATTGAAGAAGATTCTCATCCCAAAACCCCCTACCCTGGGCGCGATATGATGCATACGCCTAACTGTACACAAATCTTTAACTTTTACTAGATGGTGAGCTCATCGGTTTTTTGTTGAATTAAGGCTTGACTCCCTACAAATACTAGGTAACCGCGGTCCAAATTAATTAGTATTACTAGACTTTGTCTATTAACTTATTTATCAAGGCTATTCCGGCGTCAACAAGCATCGGAATATTAGACAATGAGTTAATAATTTATCTCACTAATAGTACAAAGCTAGTCACATTTTAATCACCTCGACAAGATACATACGGCAACATCCAATAATCTTCATACTCCAAGGAATCATAATAAAAGCCAATAATCACTAGATATACTGAAAGATCATAGAGTTTGCCTATTTTGAATTATTTAGACGCCCTCTTGGTACTCTAAATACATCACCTGGGATCGAGTACCCTCTTAAATATTTACTCCAATTTGTCCCCTCAGTCATTGGCTCCTTGAGATTTTTAGTGAAGGTGTCTAGCTCATCACTGCATAACCTTATTGCAGATCTATGAGGAAAATCAACAAGGAAAAATTATGAAGATCATGCAACCTTTCAGGTCCTCTAACCCCTTGCATTAAATAATGCTAATTCCTTGCTAAGAACGAATTCAGTTATCGTCTACGTGTAATTTATTAAGCTGTTTTTACACTTAGTATAATCGTTGTTCTCCTGCCAGAAATTGCAGGGGAGTTGAATTTTCAATTCAATGTCACTTCAGATCGTCAATCTTTGGTTGGCTTAGTCTAGCACTCGCATCCTCTTGATTTCTGATTAAATACAAGGTGATGGGACTGTATACGTGAATGCCCCCTTATGGATTCAGCATAAACCCGAATCAAGTTTCGCAATTTTCTCGGATTACTTCGAGTATCTAGGTGCATCATGAGGCTCCAAATACAGATTCAATAGTCTTTAAGATTTGGAACCCCTACTTTGAATAGCTCGTGTGGATCACAACTCTATAATAATGTTGACGATCCTTTAATTGCGAAGTGACAATTTTATCCCGTAGAAAATTTGAAACCTATTTTCGGTAAGCACACCCTAAAAATTGCTTAAGACGCATAGATTCCCCTCCAAGCGAGAAGCTGGCGCCTAAACTTATCTTCCCAGATAACTACAAGTGATGGCAGGAGGACGAAGGCTGAACACCTGTTAGTGGTGTCCTCTACGAACCTGAGAGTGAAATATTCTTCCAGAGCCGAGGTTCAGCCACGAAAAAGGGTGAATTTGAGAGTTTTCGTCGAGTTGGCGATCGGGAGGAGTGGTGCTGGCAAATTTTTGGTCGAAAATCCGACTTGCAGAGATTTCACGACTGCACCACTCAACGAAATCAACCATATACACCCCAGAGACGAACCGCAGATAGGCTATAACCTGTCTGATGTTCGTATCACAACAACCGACACTTTCAGGATCTTATTTTCTTTTTCTCTGGAAATTCATTCTCAGTCAAACTCATCTCGCGGCCCTCTCCACAACCATCTCACCACCTACAGAAGAAATCCCACACCTCCAAGGCCAAATCGCCATCAAAGAAGCAAGAAGATGTCAGACCCTCCGCAACTGCCAGTCGCTGTGAGGGTACGGTCGAAATACCGGCCTCAGATGCGTCTTCACCTCGGCTAAGAGCACCAACAACTCGACCTGCGACGAATCGCCACCGATGAAATTCGTACGACATTTCGCCAGCACACCAAGTAGAGCATTCGACAAAAGCTGGGGCACCGGTGCCTCGGTCTTGAGCACTCAGTCGCATTTTCGACCTCCACGGTTAGGGGTACGGCAGCGACGGGGCAAGGCCGGAGGGGTGGAAATTCAACAAAGTTTCTAGGATGGCGAGATCAGCTGAAGGACAGAGGGATGCAGCATGAAGGAACCAAAAGGGAATACAGACTGAGGAGGCCTTGGTGGGCGACTGGATGAGGCCTCCAGTGAAGAAAACGACTCTTGGATGAGATGAGATAAAGCTGGGAATGATGCGAAGGGAAAAGTTACAGATCGCGGAGGCGCCAAGGGCTTCAGTGCGTGTTGACCGAGGCTGAGGAAGAATTTGCTCTACGGCATTTACACAGCGGGTTCTCTGGACGGTTGGGCTTGACATGATTCAACACATGGGTGAAGTCTGAGGTGGTCCGGTCATTTAGGTGGGGCGCGGTAGATGTACTAATGGTAGTTAACCTGATCCAGCCCGGCTCCACCCGTGCTTAAGCTCCAGTAGGAGTGTAGCGGTAGTCACTATACCTAGCAAGTAAATGAACAAAACAAGACAAGTGATGGCATTCTATTTTTAGCACTGTAGGCGCAGCTGGGCTGGCTCACAATAGGTTAGACTGTCTCTCCTAATCGCCCCGCTCGCGATGTACAGTCAAACCCCTGTTAAGACGATGTAATCGGGGCTGTGAAAAATATCGTCTTATAGGGGATATTGTTGGATAGACTACGGGGTGGTTTCATGATCGATCGTAGAGTTTGAGAAAGAGCTAATAGTATTCTGTCTGTCTCGTCAGGGAGAGAGAGTCCCAGCTCATAACTAAAGTGGGACCTAGCTAGCGTGTTCATAGAGAGCTCGTCATGTGATCCACATGATGACAAATCGAATATAGTGGAGCTCTATGAACCGACAGTTATCGTTTTAAATGTAGTGCAGAAGCATGAAGTTTATATTAAGTGTTCTAACTATGTATATATACTTGTGTTACGTAATAGTTAGTCACGTGGAATATGTTACATATCCATTACATTAAAGGATTTGACTACCTAATCCGGCTACAGTCAGACCCCTGTTAATATGACGTAATCGGGGCAGTGAAAAATATCGTCATAGAGAGGATATCGTTGCTCCACAGAAATTCCCTTTTTTGGCGGCATTATTAGCACCAATCTAGGAAAAAAAACTCTGGTTAAGACGATATTCAGAGGTCGAAGAACGATAATCGTGTAATCGGTAAATGTATGGGAACGGAGTCCGTTCTGGAAAAAAATCATCTTAACGAGGATTGTCTTAACAGGGGTTTGACTGTAGCATGGTTCAATCGTCCTATTCTAACGATCGTTTATAGAGACACTTTATCAACGACACTCTTGACTGCCTAACCAATTAAGCCTCTGATCCTTAACATCACTATTAATTCATCCTCTTTTCTAGAAAACAATGTCTTTCCAAAAGTCTGCTTCAGAAACTAAAGTTCGCAAGCATCTAACTCGCGATCAATGTATTGAAATAAGAACATCAAGAAGACTTGGCTTGACATTACAACATATATCCGACGAACTTGGCATCATTATAAGGCAAGTGCAACTTGCGTGTGCTCGAGAGACTGAGAATCCTATATCCCGCAAAGGAAGCTCACCTAAATTAAGCGCGTAACAGTTTGATGAGCTCGAGGCTTTCGTCCGGGAATCTACTGAAAATCGACAGATGTGCCATTTGGAACTAGCAATGGGGCCCTTCAGCCATTGGGGATGCAGTGAATGTTTAATTTTTATTGCACTCAAAAAAAGAGGTTACAGCAGATCCATTACTCGGAAGAATCCTCCGTTAAGTGCGGTGAACAAGCAGAAAAGATTGGAGTTCGCTCAATTTCATTAAGATTGGAGCGATAAACAATGGAGTAGCATACTATGGACTGATAAAACCTGGGTATCGAGTGATTCTCATTTGAAACCTTGTGTCAAAAGAAAAGTACGTATAAATTCTATCAAAATCTTTCTTGAACTAACAGCAGAATTTAGCCTGATGATGAGTTCGATGAGATTTGTATTTTGGCTCGCCATGCTCATGGGAACAGTTGGATGTTTTGGAGATCATTTTATGGATCACAAAAAGGCCCATTCCTAGTCTGGGAGAAGGATTGGGGATCAATGAGGGTCTCATCCTTTTGTGAAAAAATTTGCCTCTTTCGAATCAATTTCACGTGGAAAATCCAGAAATTCTGTACATGCACGACAATGCACCATGTCATAAAGCGTAGTCAAAAATTGAGGCGCTGCGTGAAGTTGGAAAAACGCCTATTAGATGGCCACAATACTCTCCGGACCTGAACCCGATCGAGTCATTGTGGAACATCTTGAAAAATCACATTCAGGTAAATAGTCCAGAGATGAATGGGGTCAGGCTTGTGCGCTCTGCCACGTTGAGAACATTGCTACAGGCCGCATGGGACTCTATACCTTCTGAGGAGCTACTGTCACTATTTGGCAGCATGCACGAAAGATGTGTAGCAGTGATAAAGGCAAATGGAAGGTACCCTAAGTTTTAGGATAGAGAAGACTGATACAAAAAATGGAGTACGCTTTCATTTTGCGAGCCATACTGAGCATTTCGATGCATAGTCTCTTAAGGATGCCAAAGGTACAGTTGTCAAAATGACTGGGGTTAGATCCCCGTGCATATAGATTAGATTGGTTTAGTCTTCGTGCAGGCCCATGTCTAGTTACTTGACTAGTTATGCAAGCAAGGGGTACTATCCAATGATATTCCGTGAAAGTTTAAATTATGGGGATTGTTTTGAACTCCACGGGAAAAGTACAATGGTCCTCATTTGAAATTCAAAATTAAAAAAATCAATTGATATTC